TTGGGATCTTGGGCACACATGCACACGCGCCTGGCGTGAGTTTTAAGCCACCGGGTCCGGGATGTGAACCGCGGTCAACTACGTGGGAGTCCAGCGACATAGCCATTACGCCAACTGCTGGTCCCTGGTCTGGCTTTTTAAATACAGATATTAGAGGTAGCTACGCGATTCACATAGTATGTATGTGGACATATATGATACAGGGAAATCCAACACGGTCCACGCCTGTAGACAGTGGCGCTCAGCAGACGGGACGTGAGGGCCGGCTTCCGGGACTTACTAGAGAGCCGTAAGGGCCGTGTTCGTCTTCAGTGCGCTGGCCACAGCTGTCGCGCCTTCGTCCCCTATGGCGTTCTCCTGTAAACTGAACACAGCGCATGACCCTCGGGTGCGGGGCACACAGGCCAGCTCCTGTGCGTGGGGCTTCCCGATTTAATTCGGATTACCGCACGGAGGCACACGCTCCCGGGCTGCCCTTCCTGCACAGCCGCCACGGCTGCGGCTTCATAACTGCCACCAGAGGGTCTGGGGATGGCAAGTGTCTGACCGTGAGTAAGAGAAGGGACACACGGGCCTGCAGGTGGTATGGTGGTTAAAGTGCTGGATCCACATGGCTGACTCAGCAGTTCAAGTCTCAGACCTGGCGGCTTGAAAATCACATGTGCACATGTGTGTCCGTGTCCAAAATCCTGGAAAAGGGATTGCGGCTTGGCCTTACCCCAGGGGACGGTTTCTCACTGGAGACATCCAGCTAGCACACGCACCCCATAGCAAACACAGGCACAAAGAAGAAGAGAAAGGAAAAGAGGGGTTTGGGGAAATTACTGTCAAAGGTTTGGAACAAAAAAACTGGACTGTGCTCCAAGCCAACCAGGAAAGCCCAGCCCTCAGTGTCCCTGGGCGTCTTCCTCGTCAGGGTTCCAAGTTGCAGGGGAAGGCAGGCTGGGAGCGGTAAACGGCTTGGCTCTAGTGGCAGCGGCCTGGCTAAGGAGCAGTTCACGGCCATGACTTTAGGACCGTTCCAGTGGGGCCAGCAGGTGGCAAGATGGTTAAACCGCCGAGTCCCGCGTGCTGACTGTGCAGTTGGAGCTCTGGACTGACAGCCTGAACAACATGCCGGGTGCGTGTGTGTGCGTGCCCAAACTCCCAAGAGGAGAATGGAGAAGGGACTGCAGCGTGGCCCGGCCCCTGTGGGGAGATTTCTCACTTTGACTCTCTCGGGAGAGCACACGCTATCTCATAACAACAACAACAAATGCAGGGACCAGCAGATGGTGTAATGGTTACATCACTGGACTCCCACGTAATCCACTGCGGTTCACGTTCCTGACCCAGTGGCTTAAAACACGCAGGGTGCATGTCCGTGTGTGCTCAAAATCCCGAGGGGAGAATGGAGGGGAAGAGATTGCGGCAGGGCCATCCCCCAGCGGGGAGAGTGATTTCTCTCTTCCTGTCTCTGTGTCTCACTCCGTCTTTCCGGCGAGCACACATGCCCTATAGCAAAAACCTCCTGCGTGGCCCGAAGCCACTGCACCATGATGCAGTGACGTGGGACTGAATCCCTGAAGTGCACAGGAACATCTTCAGGGCCTAGAAGCCTCGGGGAGCGGCTACGCGTCGCTGGCAGGCACTGGGCAGCGGTAAGGCACCCACGCAGGGTGGCAGCAGACACATTTTAGGAAGCTTTCTGGCCAGCAAGAGGGGCTGGCTGACGTGGGCTGACAATGCAGCTGGTCCAGGGGAGTGGGTGCGGTGCGGGTGGCCTGGAGGGTGTGATGCAGCAGAGGGGAGAGGGCTGGGGGCGCTGGCAGAGGAATCAGACGTGAGAGCGGGGAGCAAGGTGACGTTTCCAGCCCGCACGGTTGGTTGGTTATTTCCAGTCAAGTGGGCCGCTAAGAAGCAGGCCACGGGGGTGCAAATGTGGGCGCTCCTTGGACTGGAGACGCTGAGGGGTCGGGGCAGAGACGTGGGAGCAGTCAGAGCTCCAGAGAGGGGAGATACCGGAAAGAGGTCATCACAGAAGACCAGCATTTGAATCAGTGAGAGAGACCAGCCAGAGGGCCACAGCCTCGAAGCTGAGGGTGAAGAAAGGGTGAAAGCAGTGGAGGCTCGAAGGGGCGAACGCGGTTACCGCATGGCCCAGCAGCTCCGCTCCCGGGTGTGTACCCGGAGAAGTGGAAGCACACGTCACACTCACACTCAGACTTGCACACGGATGTTCGTAGCAGCACTATTTTTTTTCTGAGAGGTTTTTGCTATGGGGCGCATGTGCTTGCCAGAAAGACAGAGAGAGAGAGAGACAGAAAGTGAGAAATCACCCCCGGGGGGGATGGCCACGCCGCAATCCCTTCTCCTTTCTCCTCTCGGGATCTTAAGCATGCATGCACACGCACCCGCACCTGGTGTGAGTTTAAGCCACTGGGTCTGGGACTCGAACTGCAGTCAGCTACATGGGAGTCCAATGACATAGCCATTAGCTAACTGCTGGTCCCCATAGCAGCACTATTCATACAGGCAAAAGATGGAAATGACCCAGATGCTCGCCGACTGATGAAGGGGAAGCAACACATGTGTAGCCGCGGATGGAATAGTATGTATACAGCCACAAAAGAGAGGGTTGCCACGTGCCACAGCGAGGGTGAACCTTGAAAACCTTATACTAAGGGACCAGCAGTTGGTGTAATGGCTATGTTGCTGGACTCCCATGTGGTCGACCGCGGTTTGAGTCCAGGACCCAGTGGCTTAAATTCACGCCGGGCGCATGTGGGTGCATGCCCAAGATCCCGAGAGGAGAGTGGAGGAGAAGGGATTGTGGCGTGGCCATGCCCCCGGGGGGTGATTTCTTGCTTTCTGTCTCTTTCTGGCGAGTGCATGCGCCCTATAGTGAAAAACCTCTCGAAAGACAAACAAAAAAACCTTTATACTAAGTGAACGGTGTCAGCCACTAAAGGCCACGCACTGTATGAAATGTCCAAAACAGGCAGCCCTGACAGACAGCAGATCGGGGGTGCAGGGGAGAGTGGAGGGTGGCTGCAGTGGGTATGGGGTTTCCGTTTGGGGTGATAGAAACGTTCTAAAATGGATTCTGGAACTCAGAATATGCTAGAAGCCAGTGAACCGCACGTTTCAAATGTGACGCCAGGCATGGGGAAGGTCACAGAGCTGATGTGAGGCCGTGCCCCAAGGAGCGGGGCGGACTTCCTGGTTTGCGGCTCAGGCCGCTGTAAAGCTGCCGTGTACTTGCGTTCTTTAAGAGCTGGTGAAGGCTACACCGTGCCCGTCTTAGGGCGGAGGAAGCTGTGCCGAGGGCCCTCGTCGGAGGCCTGCACCGGGTGTGCACTGAGACCCAGGTCCCTGTCCCGCCCTCCCACGGCCCCCGCAGAAGCTGCACTCACTCCAAGCTGGTCAGGTTCCCGTTGCGCTGCAGTGCTTGTCCCAGGGCTATGGCGGCGCTGGCCTGGAGGAAGTTCCACTGCAGGCTGGACAGACAGACACGTGTCTGGGTGCCCAGGGGCAGAGCCCATGCAGGGCGCAGTGGTGGGTTCCTGCCCACCCTACTCTCCTGCTCTCGGGTCAGCCCCAGGGAAAGCCCCCAAGTGCCACTGCACCAGACCCCCGCCTTCTGCCACTGGTCAGTGACAGCTCAACCTTGGCACAGGGCGCAGCCCTGGGACCGTGGGCGTGCCTCGGAGCCACAGTGGGCTCAGGTGTGTCCCAGGGCTCTGTGAAGGGGACGCGGAGGGCATGGACTCACTGCAGCGACAAGAGTGTGTGGTTTTCTCCCACCGCCCCCGCGATGGCCTGGGCTCCCTGGTCATGCAGGAGGTTGGCCGTCAGGCTGCGGGAGAGAGCAGCTGCGGTGAGCAGAGCCAGGGGAGCCTGTCCCTGGCCACCTGGGATCCAGGCCCACAGGGCTACGGTGGAGGCTGGTCTAGCTGGGACTAGTGGGTCCGGACCCTGGTCCTGAGCCTGACAACAACCCCATGGTGAGGGGCAGGCCCGGCCCAGCTCAGTGGGCTGACAGATGGCTGAGCAGGATGGGGACCCTCGCTCCTGGTAGCTTGGCGCCACATCAGCTCCGAGTGTCTCCCCACGCCCTGCGTCACTGTCCTTCACCCTGGGCACTTACATTGCCGGAGTATGGGAACTCGCCTGCCACCTCCCCCCACCAGGTCCGCTCAGCCTGGCGATGTGGCAAGGGCGCGGAGGGCCCACCCGCCTCCCCAGCTGTGGTGCAGCTGCCAGGAAGCCCGGTCCGGCTTGCCACCCGCCACGTACTCCAGGCTCCTCAAGGTGCTGTTGGTGCGGAGAGCCCCCGCCAGGGCCTGGGCTCCCTCCGGGCTGATGGAGTTCTCACGCAGGCTGCGGGGAGAGAGCAGGCCCTGAGCCTGAGCAGGACACCAGGCCTCTGGTGGGGCTTGAGCCCTGGGGCAGGCGTCCGGCAGCACAGGACACCTCGTGGCTGGGCCCTGGGCACTCTGGGCTGGTGCGTGGCGTCCAGTGAGCAGGGCGCCAGCGTCCTGTTGTAGGACCATCGGCAGTGTGGGGCAAGCAGGACAGGGTGGCAGGACCCGGGGACATGAGGGCAGGGGCAGCTGTGTTGGGGACTTAGCAGAAGGCGCAGCAGGGCAGGCTCCCACAGAGAGGCAGGCGCAGGCGCGGGTTCTGGACAGAGCTCCCCACCCCAGGCTTCCCCTGACCCTTTCCTCCCACGTTCCAGGCCCCTGCCGACCCCTGATCAGAGGGAGGCCAGGACTTACTTGAGGCTGAGGAGGGTCTGGTTGGTACAGAGGGCGCGGGTCAGTGCTGCCACCCCTGGGTCACTGATGGAATTGCTCTGCAGGCTGAGGATGGATGGTGCCCTTGGCCTGGCTGTCCTAGGGCTCAGCTCAGCTGCCTGGGCCAGGCTGGCATGTGGGACACTGGGAAGCCCCCCAGACACTGCCTCCTCCTCCTCGCCCCTCCTTCCTCTCCCGTCCCTCCCCTCCCTAACTCCTGCAGGGCAGGGCAGGGCAGGGCAGGGCAAGGCAGGGCAGGTGGGTTTAGTGCAAATGCAAAGTGGAGACTCCACCTGATATGGGTGGCTCCAGACAGCCGGGTGTGTGTGTGTGTGTGTGTGTGTGCGTGTGTGTGTGACACAGCAGCCCCAAGAGAAAGCCACAGCAGACTCTGCTCAGGGCAGCTCTGGGCCAACCCCCACCAAAGCCACTGCGGCTGCTCCCTCTTCAGCCACCTGCACCAGCTTCTCAGAGCAGGTGGAGCTTGTCATCTGAACATTCCAGCCAACTCCGCCCTACCATCCAGGGAAATGCTACTGGTGGGGTGGGGTGGGATGGGGTGGGTGGGGACAGAGCAGGAGAGGCAGATCACAGCATGCCTGGGGTTGCTGTTGGGCAGATTCTGGCCAGGAGGTGGTCCTGGCTGGCAGCCCTGTGCAGGGCTGTGGCCTGCCATCTGCCAGGCAGAGACCCAGGGCAGTCAGCACCCTTGGAGGGTGGGCAGGCAGACTTACTCCAGGCTCTCCAGGCCCTGGTTCACCTTCAGGGCCTCGGCCAGGGCCGCAGCACCCCCGTCAGCAATGCCGTTGCTGGAGAACCTAGAAGAGACGAGATGAGGAGAGGAGGCCAGCCTCTGAGAGCAGCCAGGCAGGGCTATACCTGGGGGTCAGAGCCCAGAGGAGCCCTCAGTGAGGGGAGGGGGCCTCGGCTGTCTCAAAGGTGCACAGTGCACAGCGTGTTCTGCCCAGAGCCTGTTGGCCTAAGTCTGCAGTTGACCACCTGCTGCCTATAGGAGACCCAGGTATCCAAGTCCTCCTTGACTCCTTGGAAGGGGCTGGGGGCAATGGACAGGGTCAACCTTTTAGTGAGAGAAAGTTGTACTTTTTGCAAGGATGGCCAGGAAATGCTGCCTTTTTCTGCCATCTGGGAAGATGGTAAACATGAGGCTAAGAAAGTTGGGGCCTACTCAGTCATGGGAATCTGGTCTCTGTTCTCCTGGCTCAGTGCTTTGGAGTTCAAATCCAGCTATCTTGCATCTATACATCCATCCATCCATCCACCCATCCTTCCATCCAACCATCCATCCATTTACATACAACTATCCATCCATCCACATCCAACCATCCATCCATCCACCCATCAACCCATCCATACATCCACCCATACATCCATCCACCCATCCATCCATCTACCCATCCATTCACCCATCCATCCATCTATCCATCCATCCATCCATCTACCCATCCATCCACACATCCATCCATCCACACACCCATCCATCCATCCACCCATCCATCCATCCACCCATCAACCCATCCTTACATCCACCCATCCATCCATCCAACTATGCATCCATCTACCCATCCATTCACCCATCCATCCATCCATCCATCCAACCATCCATCTACC